CCCCAGACCACTGCCGCCAGGCGCCGCGGGGAGAGTGCCAAGCGCGACGTCTCTGTGTTTGTTTTTTGGTCACTCAAAAGTAGCAAGGATTAAAGGCTATCATCATCAACAGCTCTTTACAGTCTACTGCTGGACTATGAGCCTCCTCCAGTAAAGTGGAGGGTTTTGCCATAATCCCCACGCTTGGCAGGCGGATTGGAGATCGCAGTTTATAAGATTGATGTTTTTCAGAGAGCGCTGCTGCCCGTTCTCTGGTTGATGTGTGGTCCCTAAGTCGCCTCTTACGACACCCGCGGGAAGAGTAGGGGTTGGTGACAAATGTATTCTACTCTGCCGTCACCACACGGCGTATTAATTTAACGGCGTATGTATTAAACAAATTCAGGATCCATGCAGAGAATTTGTGGGCCATGTGCACGGAATAACTGACAATCGGATCCGTTACATCTTTAGGATCAACTAAGTAGTGATCCTCGGTCGGAGTCAAGTGGCTGATAAACGATGTGTGACAAAGCGGCTTGTAGTTGCTATGGCTCATCTCGAACGTTTCCGGGGGCAGCTCCCATACACAGCATTTTGACTGTATGATTATCGCAGTGCGCTTAGGCAAATACTTGTGGCTGTGATAAATGTTGGCCAATCTTGCCACGCCTGTCAAGAAGATTTCTTGCCAACACAAGTTGTAATTCGTGGCTTGCTTCGCATATAGAAGAGCCGTGTCGGAGATTACACGAAGCCATGAACAGATCGTGGAGTTCATGTTGATCATGCCTCCACGCCGCAGTGCAGGACATGGCAGGCGGTGGGTCAGTAGTCCTGAGTACACCTTGTTGGTGAATCGGTCCAATGTTTCCTTAGGTAGATCGGTCTTCTCTCCTATCAGCTTATCTATGAGTTCTAGCATGGCGCTGTTGCCCTTCAGCCAGCTCCGTAGTTCCATGAGGGACTTCACAGACTCAACAAGCGAGCCTATCTCCGCAACTTGCAGAGCGGATCTCCTGGCTCGAAGCCTGGTCTGTGAGCCTATGTATGGAGTATTCGGGCCCCTCTGTTTCGTCAAGTCGACCTCCGTTGATGCTGCACACTCGATGTAAACCGCGGATGTCATAAGTGATTCTGGTACAGAGTTCCAGGGCACTACGCTTATTAATTCCTGCATAGGAGCCATTGTGATTCCTTCAAGGTCAAGCTGCCAAAGATGTTCTCTAAGAGCCTGAGTGAATCTGGTGACATAAGAGGTATCGCGGAGTTTGTCCAGGACATCTTCAGCCCTTGCAGGTGGGGTACGTCTAAAGAAATCCTCTTGTCGCTTTTCAAGGGCCTGTATGGTGATAAGCATATATTTCTCACTTATCCAATTGTCAAGGGCAGCTTTCTGTATTGATCGGGAGGAGGAGAATTTCCCCAGCACTTTCTCCTGCTGGCCCAAATTAGACAGCTGCCAGAGCTTATTCATGAGCTTAGGATGGTGAGGCTCTATAGCCAGTATGTCTTCTTTGAGGGTTTCCTCGCTCTCTGCTGAATCCCTGGAGAATAGGTACGCTACCTGTACATTTTTGATGATGGAAGGCAGCCCTTCCTTTATCTTGTTACGGACCATATTTTCCGGCTGCGGAGGATGGTTGAGAGGAATACTAGGCGGATCCTTAATGAGAGCCATATGGTCAACATTTGCCGGTCTAGAAAGGTTCAGTAGTGCTCTCACTTGCTGAGAGTAGGATGGATCCCTAAGAAGGGTGCGCATGAGATGCAAATTGGTGGACAGAGGATCTTGCACTGACCGGGTTACAAATTGATGAAAAAGTGATACAGGATATCCTCCGACGGTTCTACTCATGCACAGTAACACCGTCATCCATTCCTTGGGCTGATTTTTCGTCCAGGGAAAGCGGGAGTAAAGCAGCAGGACTGCCTCCGCTATAGTAGTGGTGTATTAAAGGCTAATTTTTATACAATAACAAGGGTTAGTTCATTCCATATACATTGCAGAGTCATTCAACATAAATTGCTCATTTTTTGGGTCTACTTGGGTTATATTGGGCTTCATGACATACTCCCGTTTTAAGTAACGCAGAAGAATATCCTGGTACAAAACTCTAATTTTATCGTGCAGCTTGTGTGTGAATAACCACTTTTTCACTTTGGAATTCTAAATTGAATTTCGTGAAATAAAGGCAATGACCATTCCAAAAAACAGAAGTATAGCTTGTGGAAAGGATCACACAGATTTTCTAAAATTGATATTGCTCGATTTTTCACCTCAGCTTTTACTTTGTGGGTTGGGTTTGTCGTAAAATCAATAAAAAACAAGCGCAGTGCTTCCCGTTGCCCCAGGATTCTTGCGATTACTGCAGTCAACGAAAGCCATCTTGTTTGGGATGGTTTTAATATTCAAAGTCAAAATTTCTTTATTTGTTTAGACTAATAAATAGTAGGTACTTACAAATCGTCAAATATTTTGCTCTTAAGGAGCCTTTACATGTCTCTGATGATTTTGTGTGGATCAAATTCAACAAATGCTTGAAAATTGTGAAAATCAAACTGCCTCTTGTCATTGTTTTTGAAGAAGCTGTACCTCTAGTACGAAAAACTTTCGAGTTCGTTTCGTTGCGTATTCAAAGTGTCATCGAAAAATTTTGTATGAAAAATTAAACAGCGCCCCCTAGGGCGGCTATAATATAGGGGGCGCTGTTTAATTTTTCATACAAAATTTTTCGATGACACTTTGAATACGCAACGAAACGAACTCGAAAGTTTTTCGTACTAGAGGTACTGTACTTATATGTCTCGAGCAAGCTGTTCTACAGATTCCGGAATTTCTTTGTAAGTCTGGCTTGCACATAAGTGGGCTGAATGACAAACACATTTTGAAATTACGATCCCTGGTAGATCTCGCAATAAACAGGTTTTGACTGAATCTCTATCGCCCATCATAACATTGCATCTGTCGGATCCAAAGCCAATCATATTTGTTAGTGGAATATTACGGCTATTAAACGAATCCATTAGCGCTCTGTAAATATTTTCAGCGTTCGCTGTAGCAATATCATCACCCTGTCTTTAAAAATCTTATATAGTTCCCAGAACACGCTGCAGATTTTCTGAGCATCATTGTCAAAATAGCGAACCACCACACAAGCCGTCTTAATCGTTGATACATCAGTAGTTTCATCAATAAGCGCAGAAAACATGGTGGTCGTCAATTTCTTCGCTAAGTCAGCTTTATGACCCTCTCCAATCGCTTTTGTTACTACTGCTGTAACTTGTGCGCTTTAGTTCAATTTCTTGAACAAATTTTGAATTCGGAATAATATCTTTAAGCAGATCCGTCAAATGGTCAGCAACAGTAAAAGCAATATTATGTTCTGCAAAAAACGCAGCTAGTTTAATTTCAGCTCGATCCTTTTGTTTGTTTTTTGGAGTTGTGCCCATCTTGAAACCAAATGTAGGTAGTCAGCTTTTGGGATTGTAGACCTGATGAACCAGGTTTGTTTTTTAAATATTTTTTCGATTCAGCGTGTGATAGATTTGTTATTTCAGCAACCAAGGAACTTCCTGGACAAAACGCACGCAATTGATGACTTAGAATTTCAATCGTAAAATAAATAAATAAAATATTTTATATTTTCTTCTCTTTCTAATGATAAATTTTAAAAACATAAGTACCTAGTAATTGGTAAGATTACGCAGCCGCGTCATCTTTTAAAGCTTTTTCATCGTGGGGTTTATTTAAAAGCTTATTTGCATCCAAATCTGATAAAGCAATGCCTTTTGAGGTTGCACGAGTCTGAGTGCTACATAAATCTGTCCTTTTGCAAAATGCATGCATGCATTTTTTAATCAATAATAATATCTTGAGTGATGTCGTTTGTTGTTGTTTTTGTAGTATTGAAAAAATACTAGTTATCTGTGCAGCATTGAATTCCGTAGATGCATTGTCTTGCAATGGAAGTAAATGCCATAGATTTTGCTCCAAATGTTCAGTGCATACACGTGCACTTTCGGGTACAAAATAACTGTACCGGCAGAGCATGCGAAGAGTGATGGCTTCGGGAATACGACGGCGAGATTCATTTACACAATGATGGAATAAACAACTATTTGACGTATTTGGTGCGCGAAGAAGAAGCTTTTTCATCGTGGGGTTATTTGCATCCAAATCTGATAAAGGATTGCCTTCTAAGGTTACACGCGATTGAGTGCTACATAAATCTGTCCGTTCGATTTTTTTTTCCTAAATCGATCACTGCTTTTTCAAGGGTTACCCTGAATTTTGTGAACTGTTACAGCCCAGCTTAATATTAGCGGTAACATTCTGCGTTCAACATCACCATAAAATATCCTCTTTGCGCTTGGAATGTTGTGCACGCAGGCAAGATTGCTATACATTTGCTACACAACCATCATTATCTTTTATTCTAAGACTAACAGACGCTTTATTAATTTTTTTTTTTAAATTCAGGCAACTCGCCTTCCTCTTAAGATCTCTTCGGAGAGAGCAGGTCTCCAGCCTTTGGCTGACGTAAAAAAAGAGGCCCCGAGGGTAGGAGCGGGCATACAGATTAAGCCGATATTCCAACAACATAAATTGTATGTCTATAAAAATTAATAAAGCAAATATGTACTTAGCACTTACTAATTGAGCATTTAAGGAGTGATACCCTTTCCTATTAAAATACCTTTCCTCAAATTCTGCAGGCTTAGTGGTAGCTACTATGTGAGTGCCGTCTATACATCCCATAACTTCTGGANGAATATGACAGATTGACTGACGGCTGTCTTTTTTTTTTTTTTTTTTATTTAGACAGGATTACGGCTTGGAATTGTCTTAATCTGCCAGTTTACTTATGTATGGAGAAGCTCGACTAGTGCAAACAAGGCTTTAGGCTTAGTGGAGAAGAATCAAAATATGCAGTCTATGGTAGCAACCATAGTCACCAAGGCGCAGATGCTGCAAATGGGAGGATCAATTACGCATTTGAAAAAAAGCGCGGGAANAAAATTACGCATTTCCTGCTTTACGTCAATGTCATAATGTCAAAACAAAAGTGACCAAAATAATTTGCGAAAACTGCCATGCATTGCGTTTTTAAATAAAAGATCACAGAAATCGTTTCAACCATGTCCAAAACTCCACCAAATAATGTGGACGCCGCTCAAAATTTTACACCTAGAGGTATTTGAAGTGTTTCTTGTTATGTTGTGTGGATGGACTCAACATGTATGTTATAGCTAGCTAGTGTTCTCAAACAAATGTTTATGTTTTAGAATTACCAACGCCAAATAAAGATACACCTGGTATTTCGAAGACAGTCTTTACTCATGTATCAACTTTGCATGGGTTGTTGATTGACTGGAATCGGTTCCGCGAAAAAGGAGTGAAACTGTGTAGAGCCATCTATGCCTTGAAGCTGTATGAGTGTGCTGATGACTACTATCCTTCCCAACTCAAACCACTCATGGACAATCTTGTAGAAGCTTTGAATGGCTTGAAGGATGTTGTAGAAGGTTGGTACAACAATTTAATATAATAAAACTATTATTATTGTATACTTTTCTCAAGAAATGCAATTTAATTTTAGATGTTATTTAGGTATTTATAATTCTTTATTGATAATTTACCAAGTACATAAACATTATTGTTTTAATATAAACTTAGAATCAATAGTTCTTTGTCAACTGTGGGGAGCAGATTAAAACAGCATATAAAATAATTTTCCAGGGGCAGAGGTGGTGAACAAGCAATTGGAAGCTTTGGCCAACCTGCAACCATCGGATGAGCCAATCATCCTCACCTGGACTGCAAAGAAAATCTCTGAGACAGTCAACAAAATATTCACATCTATGCAAAAGGAATTCAAAGTGAAACAAATCATCACTGGTGAGGAAAATAAGTTTTTATTTAGATGAGCAATATAGATTACTTAATTTATTTATTATTACTTATAGTTTTTTATTTTATAAAAACACTTACTTTTGATGTTATTAGACCTGAGTCTCATAGAACAATGTAATCTTAATATTTATTGCTTAATTGATGGTTCATTATCACTTTACATGTAAAGCTTAAGTCTAGTCATGCATGTAGATAATTGTTCTAAGCGAGTGTTTGTTGTTATTGTTAATTGTGATATAATATGCCAAAGCCTTGCCTATGCACAAAATTTTTATGATTATAATATACACAAACTACTAATTTTCTTTGTTTTTTTCTTGGTTTATTAAATTAATTTGTTATGAATAGAGACTGTAGTCCCAGAAGGGACTACCAATCTGAACTTGGTCTCTATTGGTTTGCTGTTCACTTAAAATGGCTTAGGACTGATTTTTCTGAAGAAGAAACTTGTCATTTTGATATATTTCCCATATTGAAATTGTCAACTAAAAGTTAATCAACGATTGAAAATTCAGCCCATGAAGTACAAAATTGATCCAAACTATCTATGATCGAGAGGGATATCAAGTGACATCTCTTCAATTGATCAACTGATAAAATTATATTAAAGATTAAATATTTGGGTGTTATTAAGTTTATAACACTATGTTATATGGTTTTCTTGAAAAGAGAATTGATTTCTGTTTAGTTATTTTCGAAAAACAATACAGCAACCTTAATAACAAAACATTTTATGACCATTTTTACTACTGAATGCTCTGCTATGCTTTTGGTATTCTGAAAACTTTTAGTATGCATGAATAAACTGATATCTTTATTTCATCTTTTGTTCTTATTATTTAAATTTTATTTATTATTCTAATTCAGTGCCTATCGTTTTGGTTAAGTTTCTGTTACATTTTCATTGCTTTGCTATAAAAGTAATGTTTACTTGTTTCAGAAAATATTGCTCATTGCCGAGATGAAAAAATGATTGACGTTTATATTAGCTCCTGGGAACTTGAACCGTTTTTTGAACCCAACGCCTATTTGTTTGCTGAAGTTGGATTGCCCGGAATAACATAGATTTATTTATTAATTTTGTCATAATGATTAATTTATAATTAACAATAAATTATGTACTGTCCAAAAATGTATTTTTACTGCTTGAAATAGGAATGACTGTTTAGAAAATGCCTGTCTTTGAATAATTCTTATTCAGTTAAGAATCTGGCCAAGCAATTAATCAAAAATACAAAATAATTTATTCACTAATAATATTTCGAGATAAGAAAGATCGTTTTCGAAAAGTTCATAAACATAACCCTCCTTCTGGTGCAGTCGGGTAAAAATTAAAAAATCAGTAGTTTCAGACTGATTCGATTCGATTTTTGTATTGAGACGAATTTAGACTTAAAAGGCCTTTTGTCGCCAAATAAACCTTAAGAAGGTGAAAGTTTAATGTAATTTATCGCCTATAAAATGCTTCACAGGTATGTTGGATAGTGGCTACTGTATGTACATAAGCTGTGCTTAAATTCTGTTGAGACAGCCTTACACACTGAGTTATCATTATTAAGAGATATTTTTTCCTGATTGTAGACACATTTTGGGATTTTATGGCATTTATCAATACTATTCATTAATTAATTATAATTTTTAACAATAAACAATCATAAGGAACTGATCATTATTATTTGCGATGATTAAATGTCTAATAAAAATTCACAAGAGTTTGATGACGTGCAAAAAAGATAATAATGATGATTATCAGATGTTTCATAATTTACTTACTTAATTAGTTATGCAAACAAACATTACAAACCTTTAGAAGGTTGAGGATAGTACTCCTAATAGGTACTTTAATCTGCGCCTATGGAAACAGACAAATAGAGCGAAATAACATTGGAAGCTAGTTAACTAAAATTATGTCATAATAAAATCTCAAATTGCCGTGGACCGACGACCTCATAGAGATAGCAGAAAGGCGCTGGATGCCGGCCGCTACCAACCGGCCATTACGGAAATAATTTGCCTATGTTCAGCAGTGGACGTCCTATGGCTGAAATGATGATGATGAATATCTCAAACTAAACATTTCTGCCGAGCTACTGGTCCTCTCTAAACGAAAGGTCATAAGTTCAATTCTCAACTGAGGCAATTACTTACTCCACGACTCTTTCCAGTTTTTTAAAAACAATCTGATTGCAAGTGTTAAAGATACAGACATTTTTTTCATGCTATACCTACTTACGACTGCGCCTTCGTACGCGTGGACTCCGTTTTACCTCCTAGGTGTGGAGTCTCGAAAAATGTCTACACCCTATAAGATTTCATGTTTGTAGGTGTTAAAGTTTCTGAGATGTTGGTATTTCGCTTTTATACCCAAATTGCCAGCTTCTATTGACTTGTACTATAGGTATCCGGTATCTATAGATTCAGAACCCATTATTTTCAATCAAGGCGTGGCGTGACTATTGTATTCATTTATTCTGTGACCGATATTGAAGAATTGCGATTGCGATGTCGTGCTGTAAGACATCTTTAACTAATTAGCTTTTTTATCAATTTGTCTGTAATATTTCTCAATTATCCATTACCGCGTTAGGTCTCCGGCATCCCCAATAAGTATTTCGTATGTACATCTTCCTGTCTTGTACCCGGACGGCGAATAACTCGTACTAAATGATGTATTTTTATTCCATATACAACCGTAGCGGCGCTGTTTTGTTTTCATACAAAAATAGTAAATAGTCAATATCTTTATTGCATTCCATGTTGATAAGGTCCTAACTCCTAATAGATTAACATAACATAACATAACGAGAGCGATATTTATTCGTGCTCCGGATACTGATCATGGGTGTACTAGTCCACAAAACGATTTCTAAGATGGATGACAATCTTCCGCAAAGATGCAAGAAAGCTGTAAAAACTAACATCGTTTCTATATTTTCGAGACATTAGGAAGTAGTCATAAGGTTGTGGGTATGCCCATCGTGTTACTATAGTGGATACAATTTGTGAGAGATTTAAATAAATCGATTATCGTTCACGACATTAGAGCATAGCGCTGAAGAGGCTGAAAAAGCGGTTGCAAGCAAGCAACACCCACCAAAAAACCTATATCCCCACTCCCCAGTGGTATCTGATTATGGTAACGAGGCAGACACTTTTGCTTTGTGAACCATTGGTTTTTTCCGATTCTAAGTAATTATAATAATGGGCGTGTTGGTTGATACAGATAATTTATTACCGACTCCAAAGCATTACGTGATGAAATAACGTTTCAACCCTGTAATATGTGTTTGGCAGCGGTTGCCATGGAGCCGACGTCGATGCCCATCTCCGCTTGTAAACGTGGACGCCCAAGGCCGGAGGAAAGCGGCGAAACTATTTAATTTGACTTTTCCAAGAACTGTATGGATTTTGGTCGCATGTACGAACTGCAAATTGCTACCTAGGTAAATCACTTTTTTGGTAGTAGCTCACGTAAAAACTTTTTTAGTAGTAGCCTAAGCAGTGAGTAACTACCACTTTCTTAGTTGGTTTATGCAAAATATTGTGAATACTTACAACGCTGGTTGCGGGTTCTAATTTCGCTAGGGGAAAATGATAGTGTGAAGAGCACGGCAGTTAAGTAGGTATACTTCCTCGATGTCATGAAAGTTTATTAAGATTAGATAACTCTTAAAATACAGAAATTGGCCGTTTTCTAGATGCCATTACAAGCTCACGTGCTCACGTTCCAACAATGAGGTAGTTACGTTAAGGAATTTATAAATGGCTCAAGTGCCAAAAAAGAATTAACAAAATATGGAAATGTAATTGCTACTTACTCACCACCACTAGATACGCATCATTTAATTCGAAAAAAAAAAACGCGAATTTTGGCATTTAGCCCATTTTCAAATTCCTCGCGAAATACATTATTTTACTATTTCCACGTATGTGAGGCAAAAACATTCGTTTCTCAAAACCTAATTTAGTTGAGTCACCTTACATATTATTACAGTACGTTTTATGTTCGTTTTTTTCTTGATAAACGGGGGAAGTACTCTATAATGAAATGAATACATTTTGTGTACGAGGTTTAGGTAAATTGGGTTGTGACTAATCGATTATTTTCTAACAATTTCTCATCTAACAAACCTACTAATATATTACAGCCATGAATGAGGATCAGTACTGTTGTAGAAAATTCAATAAAACTAGTATCTACGTTAATCTTTAAGACATAAGAAAGATATATCTTTTTGAATTATCCAAATCGGACCATTACTTACGAAGATATTAAGTAATAAACATAGGCCGTTTTTGCCGCTAAAAGTCAACGTACGCAAGGCCGCGTGACGTCATTATATCCGAATCGAGCGCAGCCGGCGTACTAATGGGATGGAAAATATTTTTTTCCGGCTAAACTATCAGTTTTAGAAAAAAACTTTTAATAACATTTATTCTTCAAAATAAAGTAACCTATCGACCAGTAATTTTTAAAAATAAAAATTGTGAAAAATAAGTATTGCTATGTCCAAAAACCACATTTTCATAGGATTCGATGCAATGCGGAGACGCGGTTGGGGTGAGTGTAACTTAATGATTGTTTGTATTGAACATAATAATACNAACTTCGTCAATTTTTGTCGTAGAACAAAAATTTTTGCACTGTGTATTAAGGATTTCTTAGCCCTATAAATCTGCATTCACAGCTAAAAATCGAAATGATCCTCATTGTATGAAGTGATTCCTTCTATTCCTGAACTTGTCCAGTCACGACGTTTGTTCAACAATGCAGACTTAACATAAGTCACTTACACTCATTCGTTCCATTAATTCATTTTTTTGGAGAGTATCAGACGGATCGCACGTCGGAGTCTATAACTCCAGCCTACAAATTATTATTTCTTTGTGTATCCTATTGTGTGAATAAACATTTGTTTTGGTCCTTCGAGCCGGAATAAACAACCAATGTATACTTTTATTTCAGCCAGCTTCTTCCGACATTTCTCATTTTAGCTTTTTTTTACCACGAAATTATATTTATTTACCTAAGTATTACAAATGTTGGCAAATATTTCCAAGCCTCGAAATTGTCATTATCCTTTAGTACATTTCCGTAAAATAACCTGTGCACAGGTAAGTATCAAAATACCTCCTCACCGGGTTGAATATTAGAAAATTAATTGGGCGTGAAATGATGACAGCCGCCGGCCACCTTCCTGCTAGAATTTGGGTCAATTCCCGACGAGGGATCCTTACCCTTCCCGTATCTATTTATATTTTCAAATCTATTTCTGTGTGTTTACAAACGTGTCAAATAAAAAACCGACGAGAGCGTGAGAAACATAACTCCTGAAAATATTAAAATACTGGCATTAAAAAATAAAATATATTTTCAGTTTTATGTAATCCTATTATTATGAGGGTTTTGTACTTACCGTACTATTAATTATTCATAACTTTTAAATTACAAGAAGTAATTGATGAAGAAATGCCTTCACCTTCACTCATCCCAACTAATATTATAAATGCGAAAGTAACTCTGTCTGTCTGTCTGTCTGTCTGTCTGTCTGTCTGTCTGTCTGTCTGTTACGCTTTCCCGCTTAAACCTCGCAACCGATTTTGATGAAATTTGGCATAGAGATAGTTTGAGTCCCGGGAAAGAACATAGGATAGTTTTTATCCCGGTTTTTGAAACAGGGACGCGCGCGATAAAGTTTTTCTGTGACAGACAAAATTCCACGCGGGCGAAGCCGCGGGCGGAAAGCTAGTAGCTGTATAAAGTTACCTATCTGTGTCCTTTGTTTAAAATAGAATCCTTTGGAAATTGCCAAGATTTGCATTGCATGTTATTGTAATATTTGATATGTAATACAAACTGAAACTCGCTTGAAAAATAAATAAGACACCTATGTAGTCTACCCTTTAATACCCCTTAGTCTTTATGTAAAGTTATTATTTCAATAAACTTTGTCAATAGATACCTACGCGGTCAATTCTTTCAGATTGGAAACAACGTAACAAAGAATAAGGCTCTTTTTTATCAATTTCGAATGCCATTTTAAGTAGGTAATTTAACAAATAGGTACCAAAGTCTACACGTAATTTTAATTTTCTCACATTACGTAATAAACACTTACTTAATGA